AAGATGTTTCTTCTTTTAAGGAAGTAGCAAAAGGAGCCATAGAGATTGCATATGGTATGTCCTATCTGAAAAGAGCTTATGCATGATGACTGTAGCCAATATTTATTAAGGAAAGTAATAAAATTTTGCCTCATTTATTATGTTTATTCCTACTATTTGGAGTCTTCTAACATAGAACATTCCAAACTTGGAATAAGGTAGAAATTGTGTTACGTGAGTCAGCAAACATGAATGGTAAAATGATAATTCCTTGTTTTCCAATATCTTATAGAACTTATAGTTTATGCAATGTCTTACAGCAGTTGTATAGCTCAAGTGTAAATGCGTCAGTAATTCAGTTCTCAAATTATGACATTTGATTGCCAGTGCCATGCCAGCATCTCCAGGATAGGTACTTGTATGTATAGTCAAGTAAGAGTAAACTGTGCTGTAGTATGTATTTGAGAAGGATTCTTTTATAGACTTACTGGTTTTGGATTTTCCCAAAATTACTTAGTGTTCTTTTTGAATATCCCAAAAAGGAATACTGCAACCAGTAAGTATAGATGATATCGAAGTACTTCTAATGACTGCCGTTGCTTAAGGATTATTGCTGTTGAAGTAATGTGTTTTTGTTTTGGGGGCCTTCTCCTCTGTGTTTGAATTCTAGTGGCTATAAAATGCAGTAAGAACAAATCCAATAATCAGGAGGCTTTGCAGATACTTTCTTCAGCTCGGCTTAACTTACGTGGCTTGTCGTCCAAAGCAAAGGTAGGAATGTTTGAATTATGTATCTTTATTCAGTTACTGGTCCCCATTTTTTGGTTTTATGTCATTTACAGACAAAATAATATCTTTCTGTCTTGGTCAATCTTCAGAAAGATGTTTACTTCTACGCTAAGGATTCCATTTGTACATAGTCTTTTACTAACCTTCCCACTACAATTTAACTGAAATAAACCTACTATTATAAAATTTCAGTGCTATCTTTCAGACTGAGTTAGAATTCTATTTAGTGTTGGGCATCCAGACTGAAATGTTTGGAAAAAATCAGTCATTTTCAAGACTTATTCCTTAGTGTGAGTAATCATGGGGAGGAGTGAAGCAGTCTGAGAAGGAATGGCTTGTAAGCCTCTAAAAGGGAGAGAAGTGTGTCCAGACTACTTTGCATCGCAGTTATTTATTTAGGAAGAAACTCATTTTAGTTTGTTTTTTATGGATATCTTATCAATTCAGCTAGTAATTATTTAGAAAAGGTTACTGCATTTGAATTATGTTTAGCTTTTGGAGCTGTAGTTTGTCCTCCATAGCCAAAGAGCCAAGTCTGTTTCTGCATCGTTATTATCCTAATTTTACAGTGTATCTCAACATGAGACACTGCCGTTGTTTAACTGAGGTCTGATACAGAACACACTTTTTTCAAAGTACACTTAATATCTTATTCCTCCTGGCTGTGTGTGAGGTTTTATAAATGTGAATTACAGAGTATAAGTTTTATAACCTGTGCTTAGGTTACGAAGTGTTGATCCATCATCAATGTGTTAAACTTCACTTGCTTTCTTTTAAATCCTGCAATTTTAAGGATAAGGACCTAGGAAAGCTATATAAAGCAGACATAAGTGAGCTCCATAACTAACTGTGCTTACAGATACTAATATATGTAAGTCATAGGAATGTAGTAGAAAAAAGTCACGATTTATATGTTGTGTTGTGATTAACAACATTATTTAAGAAAAAAAAAAAAAAGAGCCTGAATATTGGCAATGACTATAGAAGAAACAGGTTTACTTGACATAGATGATAAAAAGATCTACTGGTGTTTTTTCTTACCATAACAAAGTCTTGAAAGATTAAGAATAATTGAATCTAATGCACTGTTTTCTTAATTTCTGAAGGTGCTTCTATGTTGTTGGCAGGTAATGGTGTCTCTGAGTTTTATGCCATTTTGCAGAAAGCTGACATGTTAAATAAAAAGCTGTTAGTGTGACTTAATTGTGTTTGCATAGTTTCTGATATGTCATCTTTTATTTGAAGTCTAACTGAATCTCTAAAGTGTGTTTGTGTTGATTGTGGTTTGAAAACTCAGCCATCTTCTGTAAGGTGAACTATTGAACAGGTGTTTAGGAGTGTTCAAAATCTGCTTTAGAGTCCTCTTTTCCTGCCTCATCACCTCATCAGTGTGTGATTGTTTTGTGTTTAATTTTTTCTTTCAAGAGAGAAAAACACACAAAAAAGGCTAAGAGCTGACTCAGGAGTTACGATTTCAGAAAGAATGAAGGAGCAGTGAAAGTAGGCTTTAAACAATAACAATCCAAAATGTTATTGTCAGGACATGCAGGTGGACCATATTAGTAGGTTTTGGACTGGTGAGACAACATTGCTTCTCAGATTTCTGACCTCTACTTAGATCTCCACCTCTGCGGATCCAGTCCCAGCTTAATGCCACTCCCATAATGTAGCCAGACTCTGCTAAAGGCTGCCCCTAGAAAATGTGTTGTTAACAGGCTCCTTTCTGAAAAGAGCTTTCTGGGCAGTTGCATGCTTTGAAGTAGAGCACATTGGGCGCTCTTCTGCACCTTGGCGCCATGCGTCATTCAGATCTGACAGGCAGGGTCTTCCAACAGGAGAGAGGTCCTGGAGCTGTATTGTAAATGCATGAAATGTGGGTACTGTTGTGGGAAAAGATGAGGCACAAGCCCAAAGAGCAGTGGTGCATGAAGTCTCCCCAGGCTGCGTCTAGTTGAATAGAACTCTTTAACTGCATGGGAAAAAAGAATAAATAATTGTATCATTCTGTTCTACTGAGCTGTTTTAGCCAGAAAGAACCAAACTTTTCTGTCACATGAGGTTTGAGGGCTGAAAGTCAGAGAAGTCTCTGTACTTGTATCAGAAACATGTTCCTATTTTTGTGGAAGATAGTCCTGTCACTGAACCAAGGAACATTCTGAAACACACTGACGACTTCGGTTCAGGCTTTTTAAGTACTTGATATATATATCTGTATTGTTCCATTATGTTTTGATGATACAACGATGACAGATGTACTCCACAACAACTTTTGTTTTCTGGGTTTGTTTTTGTCTCTACATGTTGGCTTCTTCTTATGACAGATGAAGTGTGATTCACTTCCCTTTTACATAATAACGGAGAAACATATGTTTGGGTCCCCCTGCTATGCTTATGTGGAGCAATAGCTCTTAAAGTCTCCATATTGCTCAAGTGACAGATTCTGGTCTTGCAATAGCAACTTGTTCTGGTTTATCTCCATTCAGACCTTGTGTATCTCAAGGCTTCAGACTACCTTCCCCCTAGTTTTCTTGTAAAGATGTGAATTTTATGATGGCTTCTGAGTTAGGTGCTGTTTGTGTTCTTTATTGTCTTACAGTCTTTAAGAACAAACTATTTTCATTATGTGTCAGTATTTTGTCTTCTCTTATATGACATAATTATGCACAGATGCATGTCTCTGCCCATACATGTTTTGACACCAAGTACACAAGTTTTATTTGGGTTTTTGGAGAAAATGACACAACAGTATGAGACACTGAGAAGATGGCCTCTAAAATCCACAGATAGTATTTAATCAGCAGGCGAATTGGTAAGCTGTAGTTGGCAGTCTGAGGAGTTGTTTTTGGTTTGAGTTTCACAGCAAAATCCATAACATTCCGTGCAATCGGGAGTCAGAGTGTGCAGTGCAGTCAGATCAGAGACCCAACCTTCCCCTCCTCAGAGGGATTTGGTCCCTTTGAGGCACCTTCTGTTTATTAGTTGCAGGATGAACTACAGGGAGAGCAATAGCAGTGTGAAAGGCAGCGGAGTAGTGGTGGGGAGGCTCCTAAGCTCTCTCCCCTGAAACAGAGAAACTATAAATGTAGTTTAAACTAACGTTTCTCTCTGTTGCACAGCAACGCTTTGTAGAGGTAGGAAGCCATGAGATTTGCAGTGAGATCGCTGATGAGGTGACGACTGTGGACAACTTGATTGCTGAACTCCAGGAACTGAGCAACCAGCTGAGGGACCAGGGCTGAATCAGACCAGATTTCGTGACTGGGACACAAGAATGATGTATTTGTTTTGTTACAACTTTTTACTGATGAAGTGTAACAATTCTAAAGCAGCTACAGCCTTAATAAACGTTTTTCTGAACACTGCTATTGCTGTGGTGAGCTTTTTTCAGATAATAGACCTCTTAAGATCCTTATCTGCTCTTGTAGCGTTACGAAGTCTGCCTCCTCGGGCCCAGATTTTCTGGCAGCGAGCCGGCTGTGTTTATAAGGCGATTATTGAGGATTAGTTCTGGCTGAGCGCATGGCGCGGGCGGCGCCAGGCCCCGCGCGGCGCCCCACCCACGGTGCGAGCCATGCAGCGCGAGAGGTGCCGGGGCGGAGGAGCTGGAAGACCAGCCGGCGGAGGCGGGAGCTGACGCCTCCACCCTCAGCAGCGAGGCGCACAGCCAATCGGAGGGCGCGTCTTTCTGCAGCTGGCCAATCAGGAGCTGCAAAGCCACCGCCATAGTTGAGTCGCTGAGGCGAGGACCGGCCATGAGGCGGGCGGTGCGTGGCGGGGCTGGGGCGTGAGGGAGCGCGTGTCGGGCCGGGGTGTAGAGCAGCAGTAAAGGAGTGTTATTTCAGTGCTCGAAGGTGAACGCGTCTTCACGTCTTTGTAAAGCTTTGTATCCCTGTAAAGCTGCTAAGAATGGAGAATGAATTGTTTACTTGCCGGGATTATTACGTGAGGCTCCCACAAAATTATTGTTTCAACAAAGGAGAAACCTGCTCGTGAGGGAGAGTTTGAGTGCACAACACTGTTTCATGGAAATGGTTCGTTAAGGAGAGACATTAAAGTTTTCACAGGGTGAATTTGCTGGAGATATTTTCATTTTGCTCATACATACGTAGTGAAGGGCCTGCATGAATTAAAAAATGGACCATCACTTTTGAGGGAATCGCACCACTACTGTTGTTTTAAACTTATATTTTTATATGACTTTGCTTATTCACAGAGATGAAAAATCTTCAAAATTGTTTTATTGCTCCCAGGATTAATTTTTCTTGGGAAGGGTTTGGACATGGAACTATTTGGTGGCAGAAAGCTCACAGTCCTCTTTAGATCTTTTGGCAGAATTTAAGCCACGATGATATCCAACTCTCAAGCAAGTGGTCGTATGAAAAAGTCATTCTGTTCCATTAGAGTGTCTCTTCTGTGGTATTTCATGTTTTCTCAGCACAGATTTTTCCTCATTTGAGCCTCCCTCTCCTTGCAGATGTGTGCAATCTAAGCAACTTTGTCTTTTGTCTAATACAGGAAAAGCCTGCTATTCATGGTGTGTAGCTGAAGAGTGGATTGGATAGTGTCATGGCAGCACAGCAGTTCGTACTGTTGTATTTAGTGATGGGGAATATCTGTAGAGACTTAAAAAAATAAAATAAAATGGAGAAATACAACTTAAATGTGTACAGGCGGCATAAATGTAGTGGAGGATGGACAAGCAGGAGCTGGGGCTTTTAGGAGACACTGGCTATTCAGAACAGATCATCATCCTGGGAGATCTCAGTCACTTCATCCGTGAGACCAAGCACCAGATGTAAGATTTACAGGTATGTTGTTGCTACCTCTTACTTCACATTAGTGATGTTTTCATCTCTCTCAGATGCAAAGTGAGATTATTTTGTTAAGGAGTTTGTCACAGAGGATATTTGAAACAAAAGCCACCTCAGTACATTGTATGATACTCATGTTCTGCACTCATAGCAAGAGCATTTAGCTCTATGAGACCAAAAAGGACCGTTACTAGAAAAGCTCTTGCTGTCAAAAAGCTTTTTTAGTATGGAAAGAAAGAAGAACATTTCTCAAGCAGAATATAGTCTTTCCAGATCTTCATCCCACAGGGAGCATCTGTCTTGTAACATGGAAATGATTTTCACTTAAACCAGGCCCATGACAACTGAGGAAGGAATCCTTGTGGGTTTAGCAAGGCTGTATAGACCTTTCCCAATGTAGTAGTCATACCTACAAACACCTCTGTGATGTCTGTTATTTTCAAGCACTCTGTGTACAGCCATGTAAGAGAAACTACAGAGTAGCGTGTACCAGATTAAGCAGTATTTCACAGGAATTGCTTATATATTAGAAGTTCATGTACTTGGTTTTTCTTTTTGTCATCTATGCCATTAGAGCTGATCTGGTATGAAGCAGAGGCAAAATGAGCGAGTCTAGAATTTTTCAGCTTCTGCCTACTCAAGAAGCAACTGTCTCAGGGTCTTGAAGATGAGTATAAAGTTAAGATAAAGCGATAAAGATAAGATAAAGCATGAAGGATGTAACATGTATGAAGGAGAATTTACTCGCATGGCTGAAGAGGGTTTGTTTATGTGTCTTTGACCTAATATGGCTCAACCTACAATGTATTTTCAACCACTGGTATTCAGAACCCAGGGAAGATCTCCTGATTCACTCAGAGGGCTGTGTCAGCACACTATTGCAGCAGGGTGTGGTGCTAAAAGCTTTTCATGGGCTGGGATATCGCTACTCATGAGCAACAGGAATGTTCTTTTAGGGCCAGTGAGGCCACACTGAGTCAGGCAGGTCTCCCTGAATAAATAACACTAGGTGATGTGTGCCACGTCCCACTGTCCTCCATTTTCCTTCGGCCACACTGACTGTCCATTCAGAAAGGTGAGCAGCTTTCATCCCAGCATTCATGCAGAGCTCTTTACCAAATATCCCTTGAAATGAAATAAGGCCTGGAATATTTTTCTGTGTCTAAAAATGGTATATGACTTGTATGCAAATACAGAGGGTACATTCATAAGGTTAGCTTCAGGGTATGTATGTATGTACATTGGTTAAAACTATTCTTACAGCTGTTATCAAAATAAATAAGGTAGGAAAAAAGGTATTAATTTCATCCTGCTAATAATATACAAGTACGTTGTTTTTCTTCCAGCTAATAGTGTACAACTTGGCTTCTCTGAGCTTGAACTGGAGCTTGGAGGAAAATTTATATAATTGCTTTTACTGTGATTGCTTAAGCTAGGTGATTCATGTTTCAGAAGTGCTTTTGTGAAACCAATTTTGTGATTTTTGTTTATATTTACGCATGCATACATGCACAAAACCACACATTAATCACATGTGTGTGTGTCACAAAGCTCTTGATTCTGAAGATTAAGAGGAATGAGCCTTTACAGGTAGGTAAGTCTCTTGAAAGTAGTACTCAATACAGAGACAGGAACACGTCAGCCTCCTGTCCCTGCATTTCTAGCATGCTTGTTACTAGTCTAAGGGATGGCTTAGACAGCGTTTATATTCTTCATTTTCAAAAATGACTGCTTGTTTGCTTGTGTTGTTGAAGAAGCACTTAAAGGCATTTGACCTTTAAAGTGCGTGCTAAGCGCTCAGAAAATCAGTGTGTTTCTCCATTAGGGGTTCATAGACTGTCTTTACAAAGTCCCTATTCAAATTTGACAGAGGTAGGCTTTAATGTCAGTCTGAATATGGAGCATCTAAATTGGTTATTAATGGACAATGAGGAGAGAATTTGTAAATGTTTCCTGTAATTCAGGGATAAAAAGCTTTGCTGTCATAAATTTAATGCATTTAAACACTGTATGCCTTAAATCTGAAGTTGCTGATGTCTTTGTTTGACCCCTGATTTCCATAAAGCCTTCTATTGCTGCTCTCATGGTTAGGTTTAAAATATGTAAACGAATGTACTTCTGTTGTTTTTAGTTTTATATTCGCAGTAGAGGTTTCCATTGCAACTGCAAAACTTGGAACCTTATAAATCTTTTTTTTGTTGTTGTTATTGTAAAAAGCTGGTGGTTACTTTGAATCAACACAGACATGGATAACAGTTATTTAAGAATCGCTTTGATTGACATTCCCTGAGGTCTTCTGGGTACACACGTGCATCTGGAAGGTGTGCGCGTCTCCTGCTGAGAGGTGCCAGACCAGTAACAGTTACTTCTCTTGAGGTTAGAAGTCATAAGCAAATCAAGCCAGATGTAGGCAAGCCCATCTGACCCATTTTACATGTTTGGACTCTGAAATAAAACTTGACAAATGAGACAAATGTCACAGTGTGAATGGCAAGAAAGTATTGAAAAAGTTATGTGAAAGCTGTTGTAGTACTGCAATAATGTGTTTTTTTTTGCATCATTCAGAAGTACTTATAAATAGATAGGTTTCAGTCAACAAGTAGCTTAGTCAGGGATGTGCTCAAATATAGTGGCTGCATTCATTAAATATTTCTACTAATCCCTCAGCTACACTAATAAAAGAGTAATCCTTTATAGGCTGAAAGCAGTGGCAGAGGTTGTGTGGGTTTTTTTTGTTGGTTTTCTTTTAACTACTAACATTTGTCAAAGGAATAATCATTATTAGTGACTGTGTTTGGTTTTCAGGATATGAATAGAAACTTCATGACCCTGGGAGCATTTTTAGTTAGATTTGCCTTCTGAATGGAGTCACTCTTACTCTTAGGAACAGCTTATAACATTTGTTGTATCTGCAGTTCTTGAAACAAAAGAAAATAGTCCAATGGGTGGCTTTGTTTGTTTGTTTCTATTATCTTCATACCATTTGCCCTTTTACTCGCTTCTACACTTTGAATTTCATTGTTTAAGGCAATAAAAGTGAGTTCTTGAATTTGGACTGGCTTCACTGAGCAAGAGGAGAATGCTGGGTAGAGACAAGACACATGAGTGAGTCAGGGCTCTGCCCTACCAGGTAAATAAAAGGCGGGTTACAACTTTAAGTCACTAGTACTGATTCAGACCTAAACTGGGTCTCTGCAACAGCAGGGTGGCTTGGGTTTGGAAAGCTGTGGTGATTAACTGCTTTGTGTGTAGTCCTGTTTTCCAAGGTGACCCAAGTACGAAAGTCTTTTGTCTCTTTCCAGCTTACTCTGCCCACACTGTTTTTACAGAACACACCAAGAACCTTGTAGTCACTAGTGATGTCACATACCCCTTTTTCTTCTCTTTTTTTCTATTTATTTTAAACCCCAGTGACCTCTGAGTCAACTACAACAGTTCCTGGCCAAAAATGAATTTAATTAACACATAACGATACCAACTAAGAGCCATGCAATAGAAAACTGGTATTAACATCATGAGATTCTTCAGGATGGAAAGTTAGCCTGTTCATCACATCACTGCTAAAGTGAGTCAGCTAAATTTTGCAAGTCCCATTTAGAAGTTAACTCTACAATTCAGATCTTTTTCTTTGTCATCCCTAAATGAGCAGTATACTCTTTCCATCTTAAGTGCTGTCCTTTCATCCACCTCCAAACCCCTTCCAGGTTCTGCAAACCCACACGGCTTTCTGTTCCCTGAAGGGTGATAATGCAATTGCTGTGTAAACCACATTGGTGTTTCCCTGAACTCTAGAATAGGGTTAGCCTGTTCACGTGAACTTCTTTCAGTTTTGTCAGATTCGCAACCTGTGTTCCCTGGAAAAGCACCACCAGCTTCACCAGTTTTTTATAGCTCTTTATGTGTTTCTGCCCAACCAGTTTCATTTTGTCAGTTTCCAGTAGCCATGCTCCTTCTTCCCTTCCCTGTAATCTTTCTTCTGAATTTCTGTAAGATTTCTCTATACGTTCTGGGTAGAGAAGATGCTGGAATGGTTTTTAAGGTTGCAATTAGTGTAGAAAGTATCTAACAGAAGTGTATGAAACGTAACTTGCAGTAAGATGGGGTCTATTCAGTAGAGTGGAATGTTTTTCCCTCTGCCTTATCTAAGTAATCTTGGGGATTAGACAGAGGACAAGGGACTTTAAGGAGTTAGAGCACTACAAACCTTTGCCAAAAGCCGAGACTGTGAAGGGACAGCAGCAGCCCAGGGATGATGATGGCCCCTGTGCAACTTCTGAACTATGAAAAAAAGATTAGCACTACTCACTGGTAGGAAGGCCCGGTTCTTTCCTAGAGTAGAGAACTGAGCAGTACATAATGAGACCAAACTAATGCGTTGCCAAAGAAAGACAGCAGACCAAACAGAAGTAACAGATTGCAGTTAGAGACAGAAGGTAAGTCGTAGCTTGGCAATAGCCCAGAATTAAAAGAACCAAACTGTAGGTGCAAATACCAGCGTACTGCAGGGCTTTTAGCAGCCCATATCATCTGCATGATTCAGTCTGCTTGGGAGCGCTCCAGCCATACCTGCAGTTTTTGGATTTGCTGTATTTATAGCAGTCTGTCTTGCACTGCCTGGGTTTTGCTATTGTCAGTGCTATCACCTCCTATTTTTAGAGGCCTGTAATTTGGCTGTAAATTCTATGTGGTCCTAAAACCAGGCAGAGTGAATGCAGCTCCAGTCAGTCTGCATTTTCTCTTGCTAAGAGAGAACAGGCATGTAGTTTGTAAGCTTGACAAGCAGCTGGAACCAGATAATTTTTGTAATCTGTAACTGCAAAACTACCTTACTGTCATGCTAAGCAGAGTTCTTGTAGCTGAAGCATGTTCTGCATTTGGTCTGTGCTTCTGAAGGACTTTTGCTGATGTAGCAACCTTAAGAAAGCTAATAGGGAAGTGTGGCAAGTCCGAAATCAGTGTCCTATGCAATTTCAACCAGAACTTTGAATTCAGTCCTG